TTATATAGACTAATACTGCAGCTATTCTATAATGGCAAAATTCATGTTATTGCTTAATTGTTGTTTAATTGTCTAATGCAATAATGTGCAAGATGCAGTTATTCAACTTTTTTCAGTTTTGTCCACTTCTTTTTTTTTTTTCTTTCAAGTTAATTGTAACGTTTCTACCTGAATGGAATCCAGTGATTGCTAGATTAAAAAAAAACTTTTTTCTCCCCCAAAGTTTTGCAAATGAAAGAAATACAAATTAAAAATTCCGTGTTTCAGGCACAGCATAAGAGAGATTCCTTTAAGAAGTCAGAAAATCTGCTTTCATAGGGGAACACTGACAACTTGAAATTTGACAGAACAGAAACRTTCTTGTTTGTTTAAAATGTTTCACTTTTGTGTAGTTGACAAAAGACTAGGGTTGAAAGAGAGGTACAAGATAATCAAAATTGCATGGTGGTAAGATTAAGTGTGTACTTTGTAGGTCATTTGTTTGTGTAAACAAAAACCTGTTGCTATAGCTGATGGCATCTCAAAGAGTCTTAAACCTTGAGAAGATCAACAAGAGCAAAAAAATAGTGGATTTCATGCATTTCCATGGATTGAAGTACAGTGCTTTTCTCAAAGCTGCTCAGGTCAGTGCTCGGGCAGCCTGATGGGAGGCGTGCTGAAATCAACTGGAAGGCTGTTGATTTTGAGTATGTTTTGGATCAGAGCTCAGGTGAATTCCTTTGTTCTTCGGGGGAGACACTTCAGCCCTGTGACAGATTTTTTTTTAAGTCTTTGCAAGTTTTATTATTTTTTAAATTTAAGCAGTGAGKGAAATTTGTAATTGGACATGGTTCTCAAAATATGTAAAGCTGGTGCCGAGAAATGTGTTCTTATCTCATGTAATTGCTCTGTAATTGTTGGGGAGGGGAATCAGATTAGGGAGGCTAAGTATTTCCAATGCTGAAGTTAATGTATTTTTGCAAATAGTGAATCTAAGTCTACATTCCTTGAAGTCAGTGGGAGTTTGTGTGTTTTGCAGAATTGGAGCTAGTATATGCAAGTTCTCAGCTTTATGTAAGCAAGTTTGTGGGTTCTGRATTTTTTTTAAGAATTATCAAAACTTTTAATCAAAGAATTCATTTATGTTTAAAATATTTTTGAAGTAGGAAGTGTTAATCTTGAAGTTATAATTTATTTTTTCTTGTCTTTCTCTCCTACTCTCCATTATCTCATTTAAAACTAAAATACAGAAASATTTCCATCAAGCTTGAAAATCTGTTAATTATTGAGTGTTTTTCATGCTTAGAGATTTGGGTATTTTTAAAAATTTTTGTTTGGGTTTTTTTTTTGTTCCTCAAGTATGTTGTTATGAAACTCACCAGCACTTGCTGCATTTCGTACCTGAAGTTAAAATATTTGTGTGGCGCATTAGGAACACATTAACTAGCTTTAGTGATTTTTTTTTTTTTTTTTTTTTTTTTTTTTTTGCTAATTGCTACCTTGAAACTAAATTTTTGTATGTGTGAAGGTTTTGTTTTCATGTCAATAACTTTATTTGGGAGACTAAGTTGTTCTTTAGAGCCAGTGAGTCCTCTAAACCCTCACAAAGATAAAARGAGCAGGCAAACACATCAAAACTTGTGCTGTAAGTTATGGCGTAGGTGAAGATTAGACAKCTGAAAACCAACCTTCTGTGGAAGCTGTGCTTCACAACCATTATGGAACTTCTCAAAAACATGCTACTTCCAGCAAAAACAGTTTCCTTGAATTTGGTATAAGAGCAAGTATTTTTGCTGCTGTGGAAGCGGGTTCCGTTTTGTTTCCATGCTAACCAAATTTGCACTTTGTTTGACACTGTACGTGGAGCTCTTGCTGCTGGGGAGCTGCAGCAGCTCTAATGTATGTGTAGTAGATACTGTGTCTGTGAAAGCAAAACCTGCCCTGGAAACAAAATATGATGGCTAAGTCCTGTAAGACCTGTTTTGAAAAGTCCATGAGAGCGAGGGAACAAAAAGAAATCCCCCCAGTTCTGTGAATGCAGAAATGGAGACGTGGGGAAGTGATTTTCCTAAAACCAGCCAGGAGTGATGTGAAGGATGGAGACAGAAATGGGACTGTCAGCTCTGTATCAAAACACTTTTGCTATCAGCATCCCCCATTTYTGGTGTGAAAAGAAAGTTAGTACTTATCCTGAACTCGCCAAAAATCAAATACTTGTTACAGCAAGGTGCGTGTCAGACAGTGATTTTCATGTCTTTGCAACCTTTACTGGTATCTTTCAGACCTGGSATCTAACCTGAGACATCCAGGAAGATGCAAAGGTCATTTAAACAAGGTTGTTGCTGACTTGCAGTACTCCGAGCAATTTTACATGCTTAGCTAGGAGGGATGGGGAGGGGGTGTCGATGGGGAAGACTGTCAGGGACTTAAAAATCAGTGTTTCCAGCCCTTCCCATGACTGCAAGCAAAAACTGTCTGTTTTATGGAAACTAAAAATTCCTTCATTCTCTTCTGTTTAAGCCGAAAATTCATTTTTAGACTAGAGAGACTGAGATACTGAAGTTTAAAGATTGAATACTGTTAAATTCRGAGGTAAACAAAACCACTTAATTTTTGAGAATTGGGCACCCAAGTCCAAGAATCAGATAAATAAAGGCTGCAGTTTGGAGACAAGAAAATAACACTATTCTGAAAGCAGGATTTTTTTTTTTTTTGGATGTGTAGTGATGCTTATGGGGATATTTAGGATGCCTTCAGACATAATAAGGGCAGGGTAGGAGTGGAAGAGTCGGAAATTCACGGAAAGTTTCAAGGCTACATAATAAAACAAAGGCAGGTCACATGGATGTTCACTTCTTGTAGGTGGAACCAGCGTTCCTTTTATTTCTGTTTTAGTAGTGGAGGGAGCACTCAGGCTGTGCTCATTTATAATCGTTGATCCTTAACTCTCATCCATATTCTCTGTATTTACACATTCGTTCTCCCTCATAATGCGGAGTGGTGACTGTCTTTGTCCTCTAACGACTTGTTTCCTCTTCAGTCATGCTTTCATTCACTTCCTTTTGGCTCTTTCTATTAACTCTAGCCTATTCTAATTCCTGCTCGTTGCTGCTTTTTACCCTGCCTTTCCTTTTCTCCCCAGCCCTTAATTCCACCCATCTCTCTGTTCCTCCTTCCTTCCTGCCTCCTGCCAATGTCTCAAATGGTTCTGAGTGACCACGATGTGGGAATAATGCGTGATGCACGTGGAATGAAACAGTGCACCAAAAGAGTTATCCCCCGAAGTCAGAACTCCTTTCAGATTTCCTCACTGCTGGCAAACAGCTGCCTGTGTACCCTAGGAAGCCGTAGGTATAAGCCCTCAGAAGATGGGGTTCCCTGTGGCACAATCCTGTGAAAATCCTTCTGTAGGAGTGGGTGCYGTGCAGCTGGAGAGGGCACGAAGCAGCAGTGTGCACTCGTGTCATGAGGAAACAGAAATAAGAACCAAACTGCTTAACCCAGCACCTTATACTTCTGCTGGAGTAACTCGATTTAGAAAGTTAAAATGTCAGTGCAGTGGCTGCAGTGCTGCTGTTTCCTTTCCCTGCTTTCTCAACGACGACACTCCAAGCTTTTTAAAAACATCCCCCAAAAGAGGGAAGGATCACAAAAAACATACTCTTAATTGCACGCAGTTTTTAATATTCCTGGGATCTGTTTTGAAGGGTGCATTTGACAGAGAGAAGCCCAGCAGCCCCACACTGAATCCTTTGTCCTTCCTGCGGGGTGAAACAGTAGATAGCTTACTGTAAGTGTGGCTGCCTGCCAACCCGTGGCGCAGATTCTTTTTTTAATACTGTAAACTGGCAAGAAATCAAGAATTGCCGTTCTTCCTTTTATTTACTTTCCCTTCTGTATTAAAGAGCTCAGTAAATAAGAGAAAGTTAAATGTTGAGTGAAGGTTTCATRCTGATTAATCATTAAATAGCAAAGAGTTATCGGTTCGGGGGGGGGGGGGTTGCCCCCTTTTTTTCCATTTCTCTTTGGCTGAAACTGGAAATATCAGTTGCTTCATCTGGAATAGATTATCACAGGGAAAAGTCTGTGCAGTTTGAAATGAGGACAGAGCAGCATGCATCCATCATGCATAGTTTAAAATAATCTGCAAGACTGCTTCTGATTTGATCCTTAGATGTACTTCCTCCCGATTTTCTTCAAAACTTGTGTTAATAATGGGTACTCTGTCTCTAGAAAAGGCTTTTTTGTAGAGTGTACCCCCAGCCTCTGCTTGTAAGTATTTTCTTATTTGAACAACTAAGCTTCCTGAAATAGCTGCTGAGTTTTTTGTTTTGCTGTTATATTTAAAAGTGGTAGAGGGGTGTGGAGTTCCTTCTGCTGCTTCTCAAATCCAAGGCATGCCTTGCAAGCTACTTTGCTTTCATGCTAGAAAGGGAATCGGTGTTACTGCTTTTCCCATGATTGTGTTGCTAAATTATTATCAGAATTATCCCCAAGCAGAAAAAAAAATATGTTGATATTGATATAGTGCACATTTGAATGATTTATCTTGAGAGAGATTTATTTCTGTGTGCATGATGCAGGAGGCCAAATTAAATTTTAAAATTACTGTTGCTGTTAAATACAGACCTAATGTGAAAAATTAGCCTACAACAGATTGTTTTAAATCCCAAAGCGTACTGTGGTTCATTCAGAGGTCAATCTTGCTTAAAACATATTAAACTTTTAATAATATCAATGTATATCAGTTGCTGACTTGATGAACCTACCATATAGGTCATGTATGTACAGCTTTATTAAAGGCATTGTTGAAAGAAAACATGGATTCATGTTTCGTTTCTTTTATATTTCTGGGCGAATTGGAAATTAAGGTTTCTGGAAGTGATAAGGAATAAATTTGCTTTAAAAGCAGTGTGCTGTGGCTGAAGAAATCTGGACTCGATCTGCCAGATTTCTTGAAATAACTTGCTCAAGTCATTAGTTGTTTTGGGGGTTTTCTTTTGTTTGTTTATTTGTTTGTTTCCCTCAGAGTTCTTCATCTGTAAAACGGAGATAATCCTGTTCCCCTACCAGATGGCAGTATGTTATAGATAAATTAATGAATGTTTGTGGGACATAGCAGTAACACTTAATGGCTTCAGCATAAGTATGCACATTAATGATTCATGTTAAAGAATGATTGAAAAACTGCATTAACTCGAAAGTTGGGACTRTGCTGTCCCAGAGGCAGAGGCTTAGTTTTCAATCTGCAATGCCCAAATGAGGGACACAAGAAATATTTATTCAGGAAATTTAGTCGTTTACAAGTTTCCTTCCTTTGGTTCCTTCCTTCCTTTAGCTWGAAAGAAATAATTTTATTTTTTCAGACTCTGCTGGACAAGTCTGGATTTCTGAAGTAAATTGTTTTTGAATATAGAAGGAGTAGGCAGATTTTTGTGGACATTTGTGCAGGTGACTTGGCACAAAAATTAATGAATAAATGAACTATTTAAAGGTTATTAAATTTGAGAGATGATCCAAAGAAATGAGAGGAACTTTTCTAAGCAATTATTAAAAAAACCCAACCCTCTCCTGCAAAAGCACGGATCAGAAAATATCCCATCTCAATTATAGCCATCAGGAATCTTCCCCCCCATTCTCCTTTTTCTTTTGAAGCTATATCTTGAGCTCGTTCAAGATATGTAGGAAAGTTTCCTTGCAAAATGACAGGTAGAACTATCACAAAGTTGTTGCTATTTTAGGGGTGTTGGATAAGATGCATAATTATCTTGAATACAGTTTCGGTTTTGCTGCCTTTTCACAGTGTAGCGTGCTACAGGGAAAGTCCAAATTCAGTCTTCAAGGATCCCCGACCTTAAAGGGAGGAATAAGTAGGTAACAGCTCTGCTTTCACTTGTGTTTTTCAGTCTTTATTTTTTTTTGTAAATGTGGGTGTTTATTTTAAGTAAGTGGCATTAGTTCATCCCCAATTTATTATTCACATTGAAGGGAAATAAAGAAGTATTTGCACGGAGTTGGAGTTATAATGTGGCCGTGTGACTTGAGAGGAGTCTGCCAATATGTGATTCTCCTTTGATACTGTGAGCAGATTATCTTCAATAACTAGCAGATTTCTGTTTTGAAAATGCAGGAATAAATGCTCGATATAACTATTACAGTGACTTCATTTATTAAAAACCAGTGCACTGCAGTAGCATTTCAGAGTTCTCTTGCCATGTTCGGATAGTTCTCTTGTGGCTCTCAAAACCTCAGGTTTTTTGCTCCTTTAACTATATATTTGGAAGAAACAGACAATGGTTATATCACTTGCTTCCTACTGACATACTCGGTTCTTACAGTAACAATTTTCCTCGGCTGTTGCAGCGTGTGCCAGGAGATTGCAGATCCTGTGTCTGTGCGTAGACTTGATACCTCAGAAACTGTCCTTCATCCGATATGCCGGTAAGGCAATTACCATGAGTCAGATGAACCCTCCACTCCAGGTTCCTTGTTATGGGTCAGGCCAGAGCAAGACCTTTTCTGGTCAGGGAGCCAGTCTGTGAATTAATGTCAGTGAGAATTACGGGTAAAATCCCCAGCYGTGGCTAGTGTCCAAAATCGGTAGCAAGACTGGTAATTTAAATGTCTGCCGCTCCTGGTCAAAAATAAGCTGCTTGCATCTCGTTCTTTCTCTTGCTCTAACAAGACCGTTTCAGATTTGTCCAAGTAAAACTAAGAGAATAAGTTYGAGGAGGAGGAGAAAGTGTGTCTTCTCCTTCACTTCAGTAACTTCATGTTTGTCCGTGTTTTCTCCCCAGCTCCTTAAACCGGAGGAAGGATGTCCCACTGATCGTCTCTCAGCAGGTCACGGCATAAGCTGCTCCCTGTTTTATCCCTCCGATGAGGCMGTATACCACTCGCTGCATTCACTCTTTCCTTTGCCAGGTCACGTTTGATTTTCTCCCCTTGAGCAGAGCTCAGAACAACCACGGTCCTGGCCAGCTCCTCACTCCCTTTACAGAGCTGGGGGCTGCTGGGCAGAGTGACACTCGCAGCCTCGGGACCTCTGTGGCCGCCTCGTCTCCACTGTGGCACCTGCGGCAGTATCGGCCACAAAGGGATTTTCTTTATTGCATTAAGCTTGCAGAGAGAAGATTTAGTAGGTGTGTCGTAGTGCCATTAGCCTCCTGTGACCYGGTGTCTCAGCAAATCCTTCCGTGGCTGTGAAGAATTTGTTTCAGTTTGTGCAAATTCATCTTCATTAGAGCCATTTTGAGGGGAACTGTTCTCTCTACCCACAGTGCCATATTCTGAATTCAGGGTGGCTGGACCTAGTGCTGGTATTTAAATCGTTATGCCAGCCTTGAGTAACAATCCATCTGGCAATGGGAAATTCAAAAATACAATTAATTGAGTTTCCTTGTGTCGTGTGGTTGTGAAACCGTTTCTAACAAACTTTCACACAGAAACAGAAGTTTTATGCTTGTGGTAATAATGTTCGTAAGAAAAGTTTTGGTGCACTTAGTGCAAAATAACATTTCARCTTTTGGAGAACAACCACAATATCTATTAAAAATAAATGTTGGCAGGCACACAGGCAAAGGAAATCTATCAAAGTTTGTTGATGTTTGTCTGCAGTGCAGACCAGTTAACAAGTTCTTTCCCTATGCAAACAAGCAGCATCTCATCACAACACTTCAAAATCTTTAAATAACTAAAAGGTTCTTTTCCTTGACGTTCACTTTGCAACTCCTTGGTGCCATGGATGGTAGTTAATTATTATCATTRTTATGGGTGTGGCCTGATTTAAATATCTGCATAAAATGTCTCGTCAGTGGCGCGTTGATACTGCATGAGCACTGAGTACCTGGAGTACATGAGCTGCCTTCAGCTGGGGCGTGTTCAAAGTGAAGAACAGAAAACGTTTTACCATCCTTCAGATCCTAAATGGGGCTCTGCTGAAATGTCATTGGAAAAGTTGGAAGAGTCTGGGCCTAGCTTGGGGAAAAAAGTAAATAAAAGAGGATTTTTAGGTGAGGTGCAAGTAGGATTTGCCTGTGCAAGTACAAAAATGAGACCTACTGGTTTAAATCAGCAGGTTGTCTCTTGCCCAGTTCCAGATGACAGTGACTAGAAGTGACTTGGTCTGGGTCTTTTGGTGTGAAAATTCCTGTTTCAGCTGTGACTGCAGGGTATTTTTTTGGACTGGGGGGAATTGCTCAATCATAGAGTCATAGAATGTTGTGGGTTGGAAGCAGCCTTAAAGATCATCCAATCCCCGGCCACGGGCAGGGATGCCTTTCACTAGACCAGGTTGCTCAGGGAACCATCCAGCTTTAACACTGCCAGGGATGGGGCATGCACAGATCTCTGGGCAACCTTTTCCAGTGCCTCACCACACTGAGAGTAAAGATTTTTTTTCCTAATACATCATGATGCCTGCGATATTGGATTCTAAACAAATACACAGGAGAGCTTTCTAATTTCTTTGGAAAAATGATCAGAGGCAGCAGTATCAATGTCTGTGATAGATGGATGCTCTGCAGTCAGACCTGCTGCCCATTATTGAGGTCTGAGCTCCAGCCTTTGCTTTCAGGCATTCACAGACCTTTCATAGACTTGACATGCATTAGCTATTGGATAAAATGTGAACCCTAAGTGAAAGGGTGCACTGCTGAGATAACCTTTAATTGACAGATATGGGAAGGATTTAAGACCTCTTCCCAGCATTTTTTTTCCTTGTAGGAAATGTAAAAAGCTTTCCAATCTGCTTTACAATTTCAGCAGGGGTGGATCTTRCTCTGAAGTTTTCATTCTCCTTGTGTATTGCTTAGGAAGAATAAGTACATAATATTTTGGCTGTGGATGCCTGTTGATGGAATTTAATGCTGTCTAACAGAGACAATCAAARGGTCAAATAGTTTTGTGAATTGTTAAGTATCTTTTCATCTTTAGTACAGTGACTGTGGTCCCTGGGGTTGAAGAACAGTGATTGTTATGGTTCTTTTACCATCTGGCACTGTGACAAGAATACCCAAGCTTGTGTTCCTCTACATGATGAAAAAAAATAGATAAATAAATACGATTTATGAGTTTTCTTTACAAGGCTTTTCCACAGGGCAATTGATTTTATTTTAGTCTGTACAAGGCAGACCCAGACAAGAAAAAAAAAATCGTTTCTCTCTCTGTTGCTTTCCCAGATCCGGTGTAAATGAAAGAAGACTGATATGTACTTACAGATCTTTAAAATGCCTTTTCAGTTTTTCTTTGGCTTTCTGAAGGGAAGGTTCTGATCCTGTGTTGTTAATTCTGAAGAAGGCCTTTTTTGTTTTTCAGTAGTTTTGATTGCCCTTGAGCCCTCTTATACAGAACTCTGTGGTTATTTAAGCACCTTCTGCAAGTGGGGTGCAAACYTTTCTTTTCAATTGGGTTGCAGGTAAAGGTTCAGCTCAGTCATGTTAATGTTGGAAGTTTCTTCGGTGACTTTTCCCATCAATTGTGTACTTTGTGTCAAGGTCAAAAGTATCACTGTTCTTCAAAAATGATCCCTTAACCTTTTGTTTAAGGAAGTAGTAGTCTCCTTTGGAAGAGGCTCAGACAAGAGATTAAATTGGCAGAGTCAGGAATTCAAGATAAATCGAAAGGCTTTTTGTACRTGTGAAGATGTTCCATTTAATATTAAGCTGGTGTTTTCCACTTTGCATGATTAGGCAAATGCAAAATTAAGTAGCAGAGGTCAAGATCCAGAAGCATTTTGAAGGTTTGTTTGTTTTTAAGGTGTATTGCTCTTTCTAGGAGAATACGCTTCAGGTAAATATTAGATCTGTCTGTAAACTGGAAAATCAACTTCTCATCTTACTTAAAAGGTGCCTTTGTAGTAAGGGCAATATAATGTCATTAAAATAGTGTTTTCCATGAAAAGAAATGCAATGTCATGCTATATTTAACTACTTTGTAAGAGCCAAGCTGCTGTGATGAGAAAATTTCAATAAAGTTTCTAATGTTAACATATATTTTGCATGTCTATAACCTTCTTTGGCATCTATCACTTGGCATTATATACTGGTTGTCTCCTTGGAAGAAGGCATAGAACTATGTCTTTAATAATTTTCAAAATACAAATATAACTGTGGTTTCCTCATTATAAGAAAGGTGCCAGGGGTATTTTTTTAGAGTAGAGATGGCTAAAAGCCAGCGTGTATGTGTATTTGTGAGGCAAAAAGTTTTGTTGCATGAGAAGATGCTGCAGGACTGACCCTGTAGCAAGCCCCGGCTCAGCCTTGGTCACCCTTTGGGGCATGGCACGTCCTGAAGGGCAGCTGCAGGAGGGTCCCTGGGTCAGGACAGTGTTCAGTTCCAGGTCAGCAAGGGTGTGTTTCGTGGGGCACAGGTGTATCTGCAGGAGCGTTTTGGTGTGGGTTAGGAGTGTTCTTCTGAAGCAAGTCCGCCCATTGTCCCCGCTTCCTGCCGACGTGCGCGCCTTGCYGAACAGGCTCCGGGTGCGTAGGCGGGTTACATTTTGGGTGCTGCAGGAGATGTTTCCAGCTGGGAGTACCCATTCAGGCAGCAGGACCAGTCTGCTTCTTGCTGAAAGTGAAACCATTCGATTGACGTGTGGATATTTGTCCTCGAGATCAGCTCCTGTGGAGCTGCGCTACTGTGCTGTTGTCACAGCCTGGCCAGGGACTGACAGCAGGTGCCTACAGAAGACAGTAAAAGCCCAAGCACGTAGTAGTGCTTCCCAGTATATTTTCCCAGCTTTCAGCAATCTGCATCTTACAAACTTCCTGAAGCAGAGATGGTATCTTTGGTTTAATAACCTGTGATAGATTTTTCTTCCATTAGTTTTGTCTTACTCTTTTTAAAAGTGTGTGCATTTTTATCATCCACAGTATCCTGCGCAGTGAGTCCTAAGGTAGAATAATGTATGTGTAAAGAAGTATCTTCTTTTCTTTATTTTGAATTTACTGCCTGATAATTTTGTTTGATGCTCTTTTGTTCCTGTCTTGTAAGAGACAAATGATTCCTTATCCACTGCCTTTGTGGTGCTCCATTTATCACAGATCTCTTTGATACTACCTTGATTGTTTGTCTTGCAGGCTGTAAAATGCATGTCTATTTAGTTCCTTGATCAGAATCCATTTCATACCTTTGATCATCGTTGTTCTCCTCTCTGCTTTCCCTTATTCTGCTGTGTCTTTCTGAGACTGGAAGACTGCATGCAAGCTAGATAACGTATTCAGTGTGCAGCATCTGTTTTTTAAATGCTGGCTGGAGGGCGTTTTCTGTGGTGGTCTATGTTTCTCGTAATTTTTAACAGTGTTTGCTGAAATGAAACCATCATTTTTAATGTAYGTCCCTGTTGAACACAAGTTCTCTCCCTGTGGTAAGAGAGTAGCAGCTCACCTATATTGTGTTTGTAGGATTGGGGTTGTTTTCCTCCCCACCACTCTCTTTATACCTGCCAACACTGAGTTTTGTCTCCCATTTTWCAATTTAGTCCTTTGCTATGTGAGATCATTTGCAGTTCTTTCAGTAAGTCTCTGTTTTTATTGCAATGAGCACCTTGGCATCAGTAGGGTGCTCTTCCTGCACACYGTTCTTCCCCCTTTTCCAAACCATTTATCCAGCTGTGTCCTACAAAACACCTGTGGAACACTGGTAGAGACCTATTTTCATAGRGAAACTGAATGTTTAATGCCATCTTTTCTTTGCCATCTTTTGACAAGTTACGTATTTGTGTGGAGATCAGACGAGCGGATTGATCTGGCCATATTTGTCCTCACTACAAAGATTCTCTAGCAATGCTAATGGATTTACAGGGCAATTGTTGCAATGCCATGTGGACTGTTCCCCAGCATGTGGCATCCAGCTCTCTGTTCTTTGTAACAGTTCCTATCAATTTGCTCAATGTGTACGTCAAATTAATTGTTCTGTAGTTTTCTGGATCCTCCTGAGAGGCCTGTTAGGAGATTGGCAATGTGTTTGCTGTCTCACACTTCCCCGGTGCAGAGATGGGTTTAAATAAGATTAACATGAGCAGTGATGGCTCAGCTGTACGTGAGTTCCTGCAAAAGTTGCAGGAGCACCATCTCACAGCTGTGGTCTGTTACCATTTGTTTTGCCCTTATTTCTCTGCTGACCTTTATCACTGATGCTGAAATTTCAGGCTGATTCTCAACCCACAGACAAAAAAAAACCTACTCCTGTCAGAGGATCACCTACCTTAACTTCTTCCATAGCAAGCAGAGAGGGAGAACATCTTTTAATTTTGTTGTTGTTTGTGGTTTGTTTGGTTTGGTTGGGTTTAATTCTCTTTCTTCTTCAGCTGTTTTAGTTCTGTGTAGATTTATAGGCAGGTCCGTGCCAGGGTTTCTTTTCAGACAGAGATAGATTAGACTATCCAGAGACAGAAGGGATTGACTTTTCTCCTTTGGGACGGTTTGTCAGCTTTCTGTTGCCTTTAACCCCAGGCAGCGAGAAGGGACCATACAGAACTCCAGCTTAAGTCCATGAGTGAACTTCCTTCAACAATGCAYTGGTGAGGTGGAGGAACTTGATAAACTT